TTAACGGATTTTTTGCCGAGACCTATTACAACATACTTTATAGAAAATTTGGCATCAATAACCGTAAAAACAATTATAATTAATAATTTAATAAAAAAATTATATGATAAAATTATGACTTTAAGTTTAATTATCAATATAATGTTTTTTTATTATTACATAAATTAACCTTACTTTATACTGAACAACAAAACAGAATAAAAATTCATTGCTTATCCAAATTTTCTTAGGGCATAATTATAGATGTTAAATAAAGATAAATCTAAGAAATTTTTAATATTATAAAATTATTATATTTATCCAAACCAGTTTCTATATATAGAATCTATATTATTTATATTTAGTGGATAAATATAACATCTTTCTCTATCTTTCTCTCTATTCATCAATTCCAATATAATTAATATTATAAAATTCATATATTATTTCTATCATATTTGCTATGTATAATTATGCTTTTTTTTGGTCTCCTAGAAGCTTTTTTATACCTTGGAATTTGTAGGGTAAAAAAAATCTAACACAGTAAAATAAATTTATTTAACAAATCTAGTTTTTACTTCGATAGTATCGCTCTCTGCGAAGTCTGGACCTACTTTTAACAACACCTTTTTTCCTTTTTCTTCCAACTTTAATAGTAATACTTCTGTTTTTGTGGAGAAATTTATTACAAATATAAATAAATAAAGATATCTCGGGAATCTGAAAGAGTTATAAAAAAGCTCTCTTTTCCCATTTATATACTATTTCACTGCGACTTGTCTAAATCAATGTAAATCATACTCCACGACAAATAAAATAAAGACTCCTTTAATCTCTCTTCTCCGCAAGAAGAAGAAAAACAGAGAGGAATATGAATAGAACTCGTAGATCATCGGTTCGAAGCACCTCGGCAGCATCTAAACCGGAACCAGAACCGGCAATGAAGAAATTCATCAAGATCATTCTCCTCTCAACAATCAAAGAAAAAATGATGGTAAAAAAATAACCATTAAACTAATTACTATTACACACTTCTCTTCTTGATCTTGTTTGCATGTGTGGCTATTTGCAGAAGATTCCAGCAAGATTTGTGAGATTTGGTCCTAAATTCTCTGATAATGTAACTATTGAGACCCCTGTTGGTTTCAAACGTTCGATTCGGATTAAACGAATTGGTAATGAGGTTTGGTTAGAAAATGGTTGGAGTGAGTTTGCAGAAGCTCATTCTATAAGTAAAGGTCATTTTCTCTGTTTTCATTACAATGGGAATTCGAGTTTTCTTGTTACAATCTTTGATGTTTCTGCTTCTGAGATTGATTATCCACTGGATAAAGTTTATGTAATTGAGAG